TTCTGTGTTATGTGCTCTCTTCAGAAAGCCAGGATTAGCCTGGCTGCAGGAGTATGCCTGTAGCCTCGGATACCCACCAAGGTGAAACAAAGTTCCAGTTATCTGATCAACAAGTGCTGGTGGCTCATGTCTGTAATCCTAGCTACTCAAGAGGCTGAGATCTGAGGATCACAGTTTGAACCCAGCCTGGGCAGAAAATTCTATGAGACTATTACCACTAAAATGTCAGAAGTGGTATTATGGCTCAAGTGGCAGAACCCAAGCCTTGAGCACAAAAGGCTTAGAGACAGTGCTCAATCCCAGAGGTCAAGCTCCAGGACCAACAGTAAAAATTAATTAATTAATTAATTAATTAATAGGCAGCTGCCCAGACAAGAAATGCACACTTGCTTCCCACCTACTCCCCCACCAACAAAACTTTCAGTGGGGTATGCCTGACTTGGTAGAAAAGGAGCAGAGGTCATTACCCTGCATTCTCTGTCTGTAAAATCATACAGACAGGAGGTAGAAGGCACAAACTCTCTGCAAGCCAGGCCAGGGAAGCCTACAGGGAGTGTCTGAGAATATGCTCCCCAGCTTCAGGGTGTCAGGGGGACTCCTGAGCTCAATGCTGAGTGAAGACCGCCTCTGAGTGATAAATTCCTTCCTGCCCTAAAGTAGCAGGAAGACCAAGAGGCAGAAGGAGTTTTATCTTTGAGCTGTGGAAGGAGCCCTCCTGGTTGTGAGAAGCTGATTAATGCTAGAATGTAAGAGGGTTGCTTGCTTCTGATCTCCATTTGACGCACCTAAAGCAGGAATGTTCTTGGTTCTATCAGAGGACCCACCAACAGCTCCCTTGCCCAATGGGAAGCCCTGATCCTTGCTCTTCTCTTGCAAAGAGTATTGACTGATATGCAGGAGTCCAGCAGTGCTAATACTGGAAGAGTCCAATAACTTCTGAAGGGTGATTGCACCCATCACTGCTGGCATAGGCTGATACACTGGGAAGTGGGAGGGGAGGTGGGGGGGGGTGCGTGCACATGGGAGACATGCTGCTGCTTGGAGATGCCGGGCACTCCTCCGCTTCGACAGATATTATCTGCGTAAAATACAGTAAATGAAATTCTAAACCTCTTGGGGATGTCCCACATGGTTCTCCAGCCCCAGTTCCGCTTCAAATCTCAATCAAAATCTCTGCATGTGACAAGCAGAGAGGGAGGGCCTGCAGGAAGGCGAGGGAAACACCTTCCCCAGAACTGAAACCAAGATTTGCTCTGTGCAACAATGAGAACCTGCTGGGGGCCAGGCTAGCTGCACCAACGAATGCAGGCTTTGCTGCGAGGATTGCCAGTGTGTCTGGAAGACACTTATCAGTGGAGCCTGGAGTCCTGAGCTTTGGCAAACCCAGGGGTTTTGAGGTGGAAAGCTAGAAATGGGAAACTGAAGAAAGAGAAAGTGATCGATTCAAAGGCAAATCAAACATTGGAAGCTGCTTTTTCAACCTCAGAAATATTTTATCCTCATTGGGTGATCTTCTTGGTCATTGGACCACACTGGAAAATGCCACAATAATAATGCAATTAAAACCTGGTAGAGTTGACAAAAAAAAAAGAAATGTTAAAAATTGGCAGCATTCCAGAGAACCTACCAGGCTGCAAACTGCCCAGGACTCAAAATTGCTAATTCCAAAGAAAGTTAATTAGCATCTTATTAATAAAGGAGCAGTTTTGAAAGCTTGCGGAATGGCTTTTGTGACTCATTCATTAAAATTTAGAATAGCTTGCCAGATATCCTGGTGGCTCTGTGACTTTATATTTGCACCAAATCATTGGATTTTTTTCTCCCAGGGGTTGTTTTCAACCCCCCTAGCCTTCTCACCTGTCTGTCTTTGCAAGCAACAAACACATAAAGGGGGAGGGGGTAAATCTCAAATTAAGCTTTGGAGAGATGGCAGGATTAAGAAATAAGATACCCAAAGAAGTATGCTTTAAAAGTGCTCTTAGAAATATGCAAGTAGCATGAAGCTTTGTGTGCTAACTCTAAAGGGGACAGCTTTCCCAAATGGCATCCTTGAAACATTACGCCAGACTTTACAGTCCTTGGTGATTAAACTGGAAGAGGTCTTTCCTTGTCTTTCCAGCCCTATCCACAAATACACTAAGTGAGGCAGGTGGAAGAATGAAGCAGGAGATGCTTAGAATTCTAATACCCCAACCAGACCAGACCATGTGTGGAATGCCAGGAGGAAGAGCAGAGCTCCACTACCTGGTGCCACTGTAGTCCCTTGTGAAGCAGAGGAGCATTAACTTAGGGAAGGAAAAAAAATGTCCCAAGGAGCTGTAACAAAGCAACCCCAAGAGCAAGCACTGAGCATAAATAGTTATCTCTTCTGCCCAGACCAAATGTGCTCAAGCACAATTCACAGGGATGCACGGATGTATGTGTGTGTGTGTGAGTGTCCCTGCAAAATTGTAAACAGATCTGCAGAACAACTCTATAATTGAAAAACAACAACAACAAAAATCAAACCTAAAACCCTCTAGATGTGAACTTTGCACGTAAAGATTATTCCTCTCTGAATAATCCTTCTTGTCTTGCCTGGACCTTGTTAAAGTTAAGTGTTGGAAAGCCAACACTTGAGATTTAAATTAAACTAAGTAAGTAAATAAAAAACAAATGTCAATATATTATGAAAAGTTTAAAACAATCTGGTCATGAGTTGCCCATCATTTAGACTTTAAAAAAAAATTAAACTTCTGTCTCCGTGCATGAATTCTTTTCAGAAGAGAACGTTAATGAACATTTTGAAAGCCAATATTAGTGTTGGGATTTTCACGATGATAGTTTGGAGGGGTGGGGTGTCCTGGGTGGATTTGGCTTGATGGCCGGAAGCTGATCCACTACAACTGTGGGGCCCGCTCACCCACCCAGAACCAGAAAGTGAAAGTGTGGCTGGTTTCGCTTGCTGAAAACACACCACGCCAGACAGGCAGACAGACCTGCTAGGAAGCCAAACTCATTCCTCTGTTGGTTTCTTCCTACTACCTACTGCTCATTGACTCCTTCTTTTCTTTTTTCTTTTGAAGTAAAGGAAACGTGATTTAGGTGGCCTCGGGGCAACAGTTGAACATTTTAAGCATAAAAGAACTGGGCTCTTGTGGGACCTGTATTTTCTTTTCTAATTGCACAAGTCAGCCTGACTTTATCAAACCATTGCAGAGTTCCTCCTCATGCGTGATTTGAAGAGCTAAAGGAAACATTCTTGTTTTAAAAAAACTATGTCCCGAATATGTTTAAAAAGTAGACGTTAGTCTCTGAACAATGTCCCTTAAAAGACCTATATTAACACCGACTTAAATTTTGACAATACTCAGGACTGTTTTTTCTAGGTAATCATCACCCAGCTGCTGTTATTCAAATATTCCCTGGTGTTTTCAAAGGATTTTTAATAAAAACCACACACAAAAAAAAGTGTTCCACACAATACTGCACCTTCTAGATAATTTACTTTATCGTGCTATGAATTCCTTTATTCTTATTTCTATATTTCATGTGTTATTCTAGATTTTTTGTTGTTGCTTTTTATAGTCTGAGAAAAAAAGCAGCTAGGTCCTTCACTCTTCAAAATTTGTTTCTCAAAACACAAAGGTGTAATGCCTACATGCATCTGATCATGCAAAATAATAGTTATTGAAACGAGCTCCAGGAAATGGAAACAAGAGGGTTTTTCTTTGTTGCTGTTTTTGTTTTCTTTCCTTTTGTCTTGTTTATTCATTTATCTGTCTTTGAGAGTGTAAGGGGAAGCACAGAAATGGAGGGACTAAGGGTGAACAATGTGATATTCGCTAGACACTATGTTGAAAATGTACTATTCAACTTGTGCGTTGGGATGGGAGGGTAAAACTAGGAGAGAGCGAAGGAAGGAGTGATTGTCCAAAAAGAAATGTATTCATTACCTGACTTATGTAACTGTAACCCCTTTGTATATCACCTTTATAATAACAATAATTTTTTATTGTTAATAATTGTCAATAATTTTTATTAAAAAAGCAGAGCCCACAACAACCACTTCAGATTGCACAGTGAGATCAGCTAACAAGCCTCATTCCCCAAAAGCCACTGATCAACAGCTGTCACAGAAACAACATGACAAGCCACCTCTCATGTACTGTCACAGAGAGTGGAACAAACTTTGCCTTTAGCTCATCAAGGAGGGGTAAAAGGACTTACCACTGCAGCCTACGTGCCCTCACCAACCTGTCCTGACCCAGCAACAAGGAATCTAGAGATACTTCAAGCTTCAGAAGAGCATGCAGGAACTATTTCAGATCACACGGTGCACTATCTAGGAAGAGGTGACTTTGAATTTGAACTTGGGAAAACTGCTCCAAATACTCCATAGCCACAGTGTTCCATTCACCTCCCCACAAAACTAATGAATACCAGTAACTACAATAGTATCCTTATCTAGAACAGATGAATTAGGAGAAAACTAATACAAATACATATGAACTATAACATCTAGAGTATTCAAAATTCAACTTAAGAAACAACACTGACATTCATAACACACTTATTTTAGTAATCAAATTTTAAGTAAATATTTTATCCCAGATAAACAATATTTTTAAATTAAAAAAACAAAGCAGAAGGTGGTAAATGAAAGTAGCTAGTTATCTAACCTAATATTTGGATTTTTAAAAGCTCTTTTTACATATTTTTAACATATTATCTTCTTTTTACAGGGTTTTAAAGAATAGTAAGTGTGTATATATGCAAAATGGATAAACTGTACTGTTCAATACTATATCTCCCTTTCAGATCTAGCTAAGAAATCAAAGATTGCATTTTTCATTAGAGGAACTGAAGTTTCCCTGCTGGGTTCAGGGGTTTTAGTACAGGAGACTCATACATTGCCAGGGAGGTAGGCATGCAACCCAGAAAAACTAAAGCAGGTAATCTGACAGCCAGAAGAGAAGTACCCATGTCACACACACCCTCCAGCTGTGCATCTCCCTTACCTACAGCTCGTTCACACAGCCCTGATCAGGGTGTTGACCAGGCCAGGAGAGGGTTGAAGACAGATGACTTTCAGCACATGTGAGCCGAGTATTGCAAAAGCTATCTTCCACCCTTGTGCTAGTAGCTCACAGTTAGTCTCCGGCAGCCCTGCTCTCTGGCTGAAAACATCTCATTAGACTAATGCATTCAGCACAGGCAGAACACTCGATTTACCATAGCTACAGCAATGAATTTCCATTACGATGACAGCCTCAACCACATCATGTCCGGAAAACCAGCCAACCACTGGCTTTTAAAGAACACACACATTTCACATGCAGAAAACGAGGCCTGTGTGTGTGTGTGTGTGTGTGTGTGTTTTGTGTGTGTATGTGTGTGTGTGTG